CCCACTAAAAGCATTTGAGAAATCCTGAACAGGGAATCCCAATGCATGGTTTTCAGGTGTGTTTCAACACCGCGCCATGATTTTGTTTAAACACATTTACTTAACTTAACACTCTCCACACATCTCGGGATTGTTCGTCTTGCGTCCGCTTCAACATCATTCAACTCCAGCCATCGCTGTGATGGTGTTTGCTGAAAGGTCAACATCCGCTGCTGGAACGGCTACGTGCACTTCCTGGACCGGCCGTTGATCCCAAGGCACTGACCGGCGTGGCGGCGTGGGTTCGGCACTGATGGGCCGACACAGCTGAGGGTTCGGCTTTGAGAACTAGATGACGAGTGGCCCGAAAGCATTTTTCATCACGTAGGAAGTCAGAGTGCGAGTTATCTGTTAAGTGTGCGGTGTGAAGTGTTACGTAGGTTTCCTGCTAGTAGCTTAAGGGCACGAGCACCTAGTAGCGTCCTGCCAGGATCTAGGTAATCGACATAGGTGTGTAGTTGTGTTATTCATGGAAACCCTTCACCAATGGGTCGTGGTCTATTGTCCTTCCAGGGGGTCAAACGGGGGTCTCCTGGATCCAGGATTCATCAACCGATTCTGACCCAAGTCTTTGGGCAACGGATTCGCCCCGACCGCGCCGAACACAGACTCCATGACACGTATTCGCACCGAGTGGAGTTGATTCGGCGATTTCGATGTCCTACGTGATGAAAAATGCTTTCGGGCCCTTTCCTTCTTGTTACTAGTAGTAAGGCCAGGAGCCCCTGGTAGCGTCCTTCCTCCTAGTAGTTTCATCACGTAGGAAGTCTGAGTGCGAGTTATCTGTTAGGTGTGCAGTGTGAAGTGTTAAGTCGAGTGAGTTGAGGTAGTGTGTGGGTCTCTGTGTGTGTATCTATGTCCGTGTGTATATGAGTCCCTGTCCTTGTGTGTGTCCGAGTAAGTTGAGGCAGTGCGTGGGTCTCTGTGTGTGATGTGTGTGTGTGTGAGTCCCTGTCTGTGTGTGTATGTCCATGTCTGCTGCTGGTGAAGGTCTTCTCTGTACATATACTGAACGAATTAGCGCGCAGGCCTCCCAAACCCCCCACCGGCGGCCACGCGGTGACAGCCCAGCTCATCGTCGCGTACCAAAGTTGTACTACCAAGTCGCCAGTTCTCATCTTCCAGCTCCCCAGCTACTCCGCGTACTACAGTTGTACTACAAAGTCGCCAGCGCCCATCTTCCAGCTCCACAGATACTCCGCGTATTCCACTTGTTCTACCCACTCACCAGTTCTCATTTTCCCACTCCCCAGCTACTCTGCGTACTAAAGTTGTACTACCAAGTCGCCAGTTCTCATCTTCCAGCTCCCCAGCATCTCCGCGTACTAAAGTTATACTACGCAATCGCCAGTTCTCAGCTTCCAGCTCCACAGATTGCTCCGCGTACTCAAGTTGTACTAGAAACTCGCCAGTTCTCAGCTTCCAGCTCCACAGCTACTCCGCGTACTAAAGTTGTACTACACAGTCGCCAGTTCTCAGCTTCCAGCTCCACAGATTGCTCCGCGTACTAAAGTTGCACTACAAAGTCACCAGTTCTCAGCTTCCAGCTCCGCAGCTACTCCGCGTACTACAGTTGTACTACAAAGTCGCCAGTGCTCATCTTCCAGCTCCACAGATACTCCGCGTATTCAACTTGTACTACCCACTCACCAGTTCTCATTTTCCCACTCCCCAGCTACTCTGCGTACTAAAGTTGTACTACCAAGTCGCCAGTTCTCATCTTCCAGCTCCCCAGCTACTCCGCGTACTAAAGTTATACTACACAGTCGCCAGTTCTCAGCTTCCAGCTCCACAGATACTCCGCGTATTCAACGTGTACTCTTGTACTACCCACTCACCAGTTCTCTTCCCACTCCCCAGCTACTCCGCGTACTCCAGTTGTACTACCCACTCGCCAGTTCTCATCTTCCCACTCCCCAGCTACTCCGCGTACTACAGTTGTCCTACCACGTCGCCAGTTCTCAGCTTCCAGCTCCCGAGCTACTCCGCGTACTAAAGTTGTACTACAAAGTCCCCAGTTCTCAGCTTCCACCTCCACGGCTTGCTCCGCTGCTAAACGAATCGCGCTCTCGCCTGCATTTCGCGCACTCGGCACGCACGATCTCCGCAGAGGGTTGCGCGGTAATTGCACCAATCGCGCTCTCGCCTGCATTTCGCGCACTCGACACGCGGTAATTTCACGAATCGCGCTCTCGCCTGCATTTCGCGCACTCGACACGCACGATCTCCGCAAAGGGTCGCGCGCACACCGGACGAATTGCGCTCTCACCTGCATTTCGCGCACTCGACACGCACGATCTCCGCAGAGGGTTGCGCGGGCACCCGGCGCGCGGCGCTCTCGCCTGCATTTCGCGCACTCGACACGCACGATCTCCGCAGAGGGTCGCGCGCACACCGGACGAATCGCGCTCTCACCTGCATTTCGCGCACTCGACACGCACGATCTCCGCAGAGGGTTGCGCGCGGACCGGACAAATCGCACTCTCGCCTGCATTTCGCGCACTCGACACGCACGATCTCCGCAGAGGGTTGCACTTTCGGTTGACGCTGTTCGTCCGACCCTCCGCCTTTAAGAGAGAATTTATAAAGTGGGGAAATGTTTTTTCATTAGGACATCTCCCGTGCTAGTTTTCCTCATTAGGACATCTCCCGTGCTAGTTTTCCATACTCACACTTGCCTACTCATTGCATGCTTGCATACTCATTGCATGCTTGCATACCCATCACTTGCATACTTGCACTGCGTGCTTGCATACCCATCACTTGCATACTTACACTGCGTGCTTGCATACCCATCACTTGCATACTTACACTGCATGCTTGCATACCCATCACTTGCATACTTACACTTGCATACTTTGACACTTGCATACTTTGCACTTGGATGCTTTCGCTCTTCCACTTACACTGTGGTGGAAGTGTCAGTGTGTAAGTGTAAGTGTCGAAGTGTCAGTGTATGTAGTGCAACTGTGGTAGAAGTGTCAGTGTGTAAGTGTAAGTGTCGAAGTGTCAGTGTTCAAGGGGTTTTCCGGAAGAACCCTTCGCAATGCTTGCGGGAAAAATAGCATGTGGTGTTCGTGCGATCCAAACGTATTTGGAAAACCAAGCCGAAAAACAAAGGGGCTGGTCAAGCGAGTTCTTTTTTTCTTTTTGCCTAGTTCACGGGGGATGGACCTCCATGTTCATATAAATCTTCTTGGGGAACCTCGTTGAAGGTGTTCTTTTCACAGGGTGGGAATGGGCGGCTGCTCAACAAGAACGAACAAAATGGAACGAACAAATGCTTGAAAAAGGTGGCCGTACTGGGCAAGTTGGGGACACATGGCATTTCTTGTAGAATCGTAGAATTGGACCCAACGTGTTTGGACACTCTTTGAGTCCGTCAGGTGTCTCCATTTCTTTTCAGACGAGTGGGCCACCCGTGGCCCTCACCGGGCCACCCGTGTGATCACGAGGAGGGTTCCACCGTCCGCAGGAGGACATGGGCGGACCCGGTCACGGCTTCTTTCTGTGTCCGAGACCTTCCAAAATCCTCTCGGAGACCATCAAGGTTTTCGGTCGCAACATGGCATGGGGGTAAATGGAGTCTGGGGTAAATGGACGAAACAGTTCCATACATATGGAGTCATGGACTCCAAACCTTGTCGAAACCAGGTGGTGGCTGAACTCCTGTGTCTCCTCTCCTGTGTCTCCTCAGGTGGCGCTGAGTGAAAGCAGCGCCAAAAAAGGAGGGGCGCGGCGCTTGTGGCTGGCGGGTGCGGAGGCAAGTGGGGGTAAGTTGTTTTGAAGACTTCGGTAGAGTCCAAGGATTTCTAAGTATTTACACAAAGGAACAGGGTTTCCTCTCTTCCTTTCAGATGGCCATCCCGTGTGGAACATTCTCGCATCAACTGAAGGGTTTTGTGCCCACCTCCCACTCCAGGACTTATTTCCCAATCATGGCTGTCTATACACCATGACATTGCTCGTTTGAGTTCCCACTCATCTTTTGATGCTCTGTGCTGCTTGGGTTGTTCCGTGGCTCATGGTCGCTCACAACCAGAGCGGGAAAGCCAATCAGTCGGCAGCATCTTCAAGCTTCCTTTGCTAGCCATTGGACCACCCGCACTCTGCCAGCTGCGCAGATGGAGGAAGATCACCCATCGTGCAGACATGTACGAAGTACTGAGTGCCAGAAAGCTGAGGGAGCCTCTGCTCAAGGGCAGTCAAGAGATGGCTGTTCCTTCCCTTTGCAGGTCCCTACATTCGACTTACATAGTATTTGTTGATGTTCAAGGAGTTGGGGCCCATGTCCACGGGCCCATGATATATTCTTGCTTTTCAAAGCAGCATTTCACCTCCCGTTGGTGAAGCACTCTTCCAAAGCCTTCCGGAATTTCCGGCAAACGTTTGGCGAAGTGGCTCGAGCCTAGTCGGTGAAGGCCTTTTCTTGACGTTCGGGTGACGTATATGACATGAGGGAAACAGGACAAGGTGACCGCTGTGCTGTTTCCGGCTCACTTTGCTGTGTCGAGCTGAGTTGATCTTATTAAATACCAAGAACATCCAAGAACTGTGTATTGGAACAGTGTCAAATTGAGACCAACAGTTGCTGGCCGCATGCAGCCTGCCAAGCTGAATTCGAAGCAGCAGCAGGAGTGACACTCCAGAAGAAATTCAGCAACCCATCGATGGAGTGCACCATCGATGGACCGCCAGAAATCAATCAACCAACACGGTCAGCAGATGTGCCCGAGTCCCCGTGTGCTGAAAGCAACACCCCGAGAGATCCCGAGAGCGTGGGTTTCCACTTCTTCACTCAGCCAGTTGTTGCAGTCAACAACTAACCCTACAATTTGGCCTAGATGTAGATGTAGATTGTTTTGTCCTACCATTTTGTTTCAGCTACAAACTCCGTGAGTTCCAATCTCTGAGGGCCTTGAGAGACGGCCGGCCACTGCCGTTCCGCACCGCGCCCCGCCATGGCGGAGACGCAGAAGCCAACAGCACAGGAGCGGAGCGTGGAGGGCCACGTGAGATGGGTCACCACCGGGGTGACCGGTGGGGTGAGATGCCGAGAAGAGGTGGAGATGAGGTGGAGAACTAAGGGGGGTTGCTGTAACTGTTTGAGGCGTTTCTGACTCGCACACCTCCAGAGAGAAACACAGTTCCAACTAGCCCAACCATTGCTTAGTCAGGCAGTTTGGACCAACAAATACGGTAAATGATAGGTTTTTTTTGGGATGTGTTCACATTGAAACTGATCTTGAAAGGACCCTCTGAACCCGCGTGCGGTTTTTGGATGGGCTGGCTTCTTTTGGGATCCGAATCCAGGAGCTCAGGGACAAGGACAAGAGAGAACGAGCGACTTGGACCTGGCAGGGCCCGCTTGGCGCGTCGACCGGTCGGGGCGTGGCATAGCGGCATAGCGGTTAAGATCCATATGATGGATCATGATGGATCTATCAATCTCCTGCCGATGACGGGAAACGTTGGAGTCTTCCTGCAAAATTGTAGAAAAAAGGAGAAAACCGGAAGGTACCAGCTATGCTTCAGCTGCATTCCCAAGACTTCCCAAGTAATGTTTTTCTTGGAGGCCATCGCTTTTAGGTTGGAGGCCATTGCTACTAGTAACGCAACTAGTAGCTCCTGGCATTACTATACTGGTAACAAGAAGCTACTAGGAGCAAAGGGCATCGCTACTAGGAACCCGGACATCGCTATGAACGGAGCAAGAAGCTACTAGTGGCTCCTGGCATTACTACTAGTATCTACTAGTAACATGTTTCGAAGTTCTTTTGGCTGCCAAAGGTCGTTTTGTCATTGCTGTACCGGACGCTCGCATCGTTCTTGCTTTGCCGGTAGACGCCTGACGCTGGTCCCACTCAACCGTTGCGCCCACGACAGTACGGACCACATCTTTAAAGATCTCCTGAACAGTCCTGCTAAGAGTGAATCGTGCAGATATGTGTAGATATTATATATATGTATAAATAGTTGTTTTAATATTGTATGTATATTAGAATATTATTTGATATAAAATATATGTATATTGCATATTATTTGTCTTTTGTCCGTTGCATTCTACAGATCTGAGATCTGGACTGAGCTCCATCCGCCCAGGATGAGCTCCATGAACGGATCATGGAGAAGGAGCGCCAGAGCAAGAAGCGCGTGGCCAGCAGCTCCGCTGGCGACACAGAAGGCCGGGCGCACGGATCCAGCCACGGATTGGGCGCGATCTGTGTGACATGGTGACTGGATGAAACACTTGTGAGAACATATAGTGGCACCTGCTTGAGAGGAATCCACCTCATGACTGAGCTCCCGTGACTCCATGCGACTCTGATATTTTGGGAGAAAGCACTAGGATTCATTAGGGGCTCCTGGCCTTACTACTAGGAGCGATCGGACGCTATGAACGGGGCTCCTGGCCTTACTACCGTACCTTTCGTTTGCTTTCGGACTGCATCCCTAGTGGTAGCCCCATGGCCGTCCTCCACCGAGGTCCGGGGCGTTCTTTCGAGTTCAGCAACGAGGAGGAGCGGCGCGAAGCCATCGACCACATCCGGCTGATGGCCCGGCGGAAATACCTGGGTGAGCGTGAGGCGCGGCGGACGCGGACGAACTGGGCCTTCAGCGTGGGAGAGGCGAGAAGAGTCAGAGCAGGTCGCGAGCAGGTCGTCCCAACATTCCCAAAGCGTGACTGGGAATCTATCAACGGTTCATGAACGGTTTTTCTCCACGTGGTTTAGCTGGTCGTTATTTTTGTTCCACCAAACCAGCAGAGAATTTTCTATAGGGATGAGCAGTCGTTGGTCCAATTTTATTGACCATCTGGCCAGATCGTCTCTCAGGACTGACATCCGTCGGTTCTTTCCTCCACTGCGGTGGGTTTTAACCAAGGGAGGAATGGGAGGAATGGGACCAGCAAACCCACTCGGACAGCACCAGCTTCACTCTGAACGGCTTCCAATCACCCTGATGGAGTTCATCGCCTGAAAAAACGACGAACACCAGGGATTTTAGACTCAAACCAGGTCGCAGGATGTCAAAGTGAACTTTTTTCTAAAAGCTCTTTTGGCTTTCGGCCCACCGGGCGGGTCGCAAACCCGGACCGCCATGGCCCAGGTGAAGATCTCCGATCTCCGCGGCAGGTCCGGCGGTGTTCCACCGGGGGTGTCGTCTGGGCTCGTCCGGCGTGGCGTCCGGCGCCATGGTGGCAGCCGTGAGTCGGGATGTGCAGGTTGTTCTTTTGTTTCTACGTTCAATGTGTTTAGATATTCGATGCTCTACTTGGGATGATGGATCCCACTGACGCAACTGGTCTTCAAGCGAGTTGAAACTACCAACAAGACCAGGAGTTTAGGGTCGACCGTTGTGTTTGCAGCTATCAAGGTGACTGTGTGCTCGTGCGATTCTTAGGAAAGTCATCAAGTTGACTCCAGAGCTGAAGAACACCAGCATAGAAGTCACATGTGTAGACCAGTCACCCAAGTACGTTGTGAGGAAGTACACACAAATATACTGTAGATGAGGATCTCGTGGGCTTTGCTAGGCAGCACAGGCACAATAGCTTTCAGTTTTCAATTTCTTGGAACCATCTTTCTGCCAAGTTAGAGCTGCATTCTGCAAAATACAGGAGCGTGTACCTGTTCCTTGACTTGGTTTTGAGATGCGCCTGGGCCACGTGTCCGCGAGGCAAGTCTCAGACGCCGAGTGGCTCATGAAGGGCGAGAAGCTTTCGGAGGCTGAGCAACAGTGCTCCGCCGAGAGTCGTTCGCGCGCGAGAGAAGGCGAAACCGGGGGCGCGGGAGTCGCGGAACGAGATGTGGAAGGGTGAGGACATCAGGACATGTTTGGTGGATGAGGCATGGCCCCCCCGTAAAAGATCATCACTGAGTCAGTCGAAAAGCTACAGCCGTGTCCAGTGGGATGCTCCAAGCGAAGACCCCCACAGCACAGAGGCGAGAACCGCAGATTATGTGTGGATCGACCCCAGCAACCGATCTTTTTTCTCCATCAATTGTTGGCAAAAAAACCTCCCTCCCCATGAGAAAATGCAACATGAACAATCACGATTGAGCTATTCATTCTCTGGGGTGCTTTGCTTTTGGGGTAAGCGTAGCGCGTGCTGATTCGGGATTGTCACTGACTCAAGCCGCCCCTTGCCCCTTGCCATCATTCGTCGTGTCTCCTCGCAAGAAACTATTTGGCAGGAAACAAAACTGAAAGTCTTGGTCAACTGAGTCAACTGTGAAGCTGTTGGACAACAAACCCTATTATTTTGAAATCATTTTTTACATAATATTGGACAGTCCTCTACTTCTACGTTTCATCATATTTTGATCTATTGCACCCAGTCTTGTGAGCACTCAAGGGATTCCATGTGCTGTTTCTGCCTGCATGTGAAGTAGTAAGGTTCCTGAATCGACTGCCATCTTCCTTTAGAACTAGGTGGTTTTCCACTTCCATGTTAATTACTCGGAGACTAAGTCTTTTTCGTTTTGCAAGTCTAGGCTGCAGTCGGTGAGTGCTGCAGAGTCGAGGGGTACATGTAGGGAAGTTGCAGGTCGATGAGTGCAGGTTTTAGTCTCAAACTCCGTGCATGATACCTACCTTTTTCTTCAATGGTTGAACAATGTCGAACAGCAAAACACCCTGATTTGAGGGGGTGTAACACAACTACTGGATGAAACATATGAAACACAACTCTTGTAGCATCCGGTAGCTCATCCGGCAGGTGGTGTGTCGCTGACGTCGGTAGCGCTGGACCCGTGGTTCCCTCCAGGTCGTGACGACCTCGACGCGACGGCGCGAGGTACCTGAAGCTGGAACGAGATCTTTACGATGTCACCAAGCAGAGGATGGAGGAGACACCCAAGCAACCATGGGCCTGGCAGGGGGGGCATGGGGTGAGGTGCACTCGGGCGTCGGATTCGGGTTGTAGGTGCAGAAGATGGAGAGATGGAGCAATTAAAAGATCTAACAACATAGCAATCTAGTAACTGTTCGTTGCATAGGGAGGAAAGATGTCAACATGAAAGATTGACGCGACCCGCAGATGTTTGCGCTTGTTTAATTCCAGCCATGCTGGAGGCTACATCTTTCGGATCCACGGCCAGCTGGCTTTAGAGAACAGACATCCGTGGATTTTCGGGCAAAACGGTAGTGGCATGCAATGGTCTTTTTTGTTCAGACATCTTGATGAATGGGAATCTTTGGTGTGCATGTCCCTCGGTTACGCCAGTCTGTTGGCTTTTATCTGTCAAGAAAGAAATCAAGTTTACACTCTCCGACTCACTTAGGGACTAAACCCCACCCCTTTGTGACTGCTGGATGTTTAATCCTTAAGACTTCTCGTTCCAATTCTCTTTGAGCCACAGACCCCTCAAGGGATGTCTGTATAGGAGACCCCTCACGGGACGTCCCCCAAAGCCGCAGGAGCGAGGTCTTGAACGGCCGGTGGGCTACAACATGCCCGACGTCTACGACGACGATGACCAGAAAGGCCCGGAGAGCGGTCAGTCCAAGCGGTGGAGCGGTGGAGCGGCAGATGAGGGGGCTGAGGATGGGGCAGATGAGGATGGTGATGGCTGTGTCATGAGTCTCTGTTGAAAAGGGTTTTTCTGAATACAACAGGTTGTGGCGTGGCTGGTAGACTGTGTCAGTCTAGCAGTGCGACCGGGCAAGTTGGGAACGCCCTATTTGCAGTGCAGGGGAACAGTACCGTTGGGGTTGAGTATTTGCAAGACCCTCGATGGGTTGAGCTACCCACTTCTTCAACAGCTAAAGTGACCAAAGACTGAAGGCACAGACATTCCTAGCCAAATAGTGCAGGGTAGTCCATGGGGCACCGCTTTTTCTAGTTGTTTTTGGCGTTTTCCATCATTGTCAGTGCCAGGACAGAATAAGCGCTTCGCGGTCCTGGAGCAAAGATACCAGCAGACCTACGATGAGATTCTTGGGTTTCGAGTTCCAGTCTGGTTGGATCGACGCGGTCAGATCAACGACTTCTAGACGAAGCGCAGGGATCGACCCACGGTTCGGTTCACTCTGCCAGCCACAACTTGCCGTATACAAGCATCACCGCATTGGTAGCACGTCAGACACACATTCAAACGCACCTTGCCACCCAAAAGCTCTTCTCTGGCAGGGCCCAGCAGTGCACTGCGCCGCTCTTTTTTTTTCCAAACTCCCGGGAGTCGTTGCCTTTCTTTTGGTCCGATATCCCCGAAGCTTTCTTCAGATCTGCCGGGCCGATGGGCTCAAAACCGCGTACCTGTCAGCTGCGCATTCGGGGCGCTGCCCCTGCATTTGTAGCAGATCTGGGGCACGTGGGGAACTCGTTCGGCCAACGGGTTGAATTCGAACGACCCAGCTGAGGCCAAGTGGATCCCGACAAACAGCTGGTGACTTCATCCAAGAAGCTGCGAACATACTATGATCATCTATGATCTAATCACTTCGTGGGTGTCACGCATCCTTCCGCGACCTTCCCCCTTCACCGAACGGTGGTCTCTCTGAATCCGAATCCAGCCGGTCGTTGGCCCCCGCTCCCCGATCCACCGAGGAAGTGGGAGAAGAACGAGGAGCAACGCTTGGAGGATGCGACCGTCTCCAAGGCCGTGACCAAATACGGCGCCCAGAAAGGCCGGCCGGAGCGACCGGTGGGGTAGTGGTGGGGTTGGGTGCAGGGTGGTCCGTTTTGGTCCGTTTGGGGGAAACATGGTGAAACAACGGAGCGCAGGAAGGAAGAAAGAGAAGGAAGAAGACTGGGTCAGGTGCTTGGCTTGGGTTGGTTTGCCACATTTGGTGGAGAAGTGTATGATGGAGAACCTGCTTCCAAAGGCGGCGTGCAGACAAAGCGCTGGCTTATATATCTTCGGAGACGAAGCGCTTTTCTTCGGGAACTACACTTTGACAGAGTTTTTCATTCTTCTTCGCGTCGCAGCGATCAGGAGCATCTCATGTTGGGGACGTTTGCAACAGGAATCAGACTCAAAGGAGTTGCAAGTGCTAGTATTCCATCATTTTCCATCCAAGTTTCTCGATGTCTGCCAGAAATCTTCAATTCCACAATCGTTTGCTCCGCCTCTAAACTGCAATTTGAAGGGTGATCAGCAATCATGTTCTAAATTTCGCACTAGTTTTTTGTACCTGTATAGCAGTTTTCACCGCTGATAGTGCTTTTCTTTTGTCCTTGACACTGAGAGTTTAGCTGCCAGGGAGAAAAGAAAACAAGGAGAAGACACAGTACGACCTCATTCTCGAGGCTGGGACAGACTGCTCTCAGCTCGGCATTCCCAATAAACATATGCTCGGTGCAAGATGTTTCAGTGCATGCAAGTCATGCCATTTCCGATGCGTGAAACAGATCCGCAAAGAGCTTTCTTTAACGGCCAACCCATGATTCTTCGGGATCCGTGAGTTGGAGCATTTTTGGGACATGCCCACTGTCAGTGGTCGGAGGGGTTGGTACCCAGAACATCTAATGGCCCTTGTTCATTGCTTCAGAGAAACGAGTCAATCACAGGGCAGGCCCCAATGACAGGCAATGTGTACATATGTGTACCCTTTATCTCTATAGTGTGAGAGAACTAAGATCCCCGAAGCCCAGAGATTGTGGCTTATAGTTTGATATGATTTTGTAGATGCTTCTGCATCCAGAAATCCATCATGCTTCTGTCTTTATGACTTATCTTAATTTTATTTGTTAAAACTTCAACATATATTAGCTACTCCTCGCACACAAAGGCATTGATCCCAGGTGGGGACGAGGTCATCCCCCGAATCATCCGATGACACCGAGATGACCGATGACCGACCGAGGACGTGCGACGCGTGGGGTGTTCGCAGACGGGCACCCGGTTCATTCGTTCGCCCGGTTCACGGGATGGTTCGTGCGAGTCCATCCCATGAACTTCCAGTACACGTCGCACGAATCGCCCGAATCAGTCGGGTCCGGAGTTTGGATGTCTCCGTGTTCTGCAGGATGCGGTGGAGTTTGGAGAGGCGGAGGTCGTTGGAGGCAACTTCAAGGCGGTCCCGGGACCGGGAGTTGGGGGGGTATTTTGCAGGGACACCAACAGTGATACCCTCCAACCACTGGGTGTTCATTTATGTCGTGTTCTGTATTCCAGACTGCAGGCAGATTTTTGCTTGACTTTTATGATCGATGTATATATTCATTACTTGGGTAATGTCACTAGTCCTGTTGTCTTTGTCCATTGTGTTTAGAACAAGAACCATTCCGCGAAGGTGATGGTCTTGGAGAGAGTCAGGTGAGATGAAAAAAGTCATCACTGCATGGCCAGGCACAGCCCGTGTGACTGATAGGATTGGTTGAAATATTTTGGGGGTACTGACTGTTGTGTCGTTCATAGAGTACCCAGTCACCCGGGAGGGCAGTTCACCGTTCACCCCCTTCGTGGCACGCTTGTGGAGGTCCATGACCACATGGATGTGGCTCCAAAACCATCTGAGACACACCAGGAATCCTGGCGCCCGGGGGAGTCAAAAGCTCTCGTCAGGTGACTAGATAAGATAGATGGGACTGGACGATAGGCCCAGGCCGGTCCATTGAACCCTTTTTCCATCTCAACTGATTGGCAAATAACATCAAATAACTATACCCTAGGGATCCAGTCGTACCTTCTCAGATGGTGATTGGAGACACCGTTATGTAGGCTTGGAGGGTCCAAGTACCTTCTGAGAAGGTACGACTGGATCGCTAGGGATAGTACTCATAGACCATTTCTGGCACATCCGCTGGCGGAGCTCTTCAAAGTCAGCTGAAGAGCAAAGCAACGGTTTTGCAGGCGCCGACGCTGGAGGAGGGTCCCAAGGCGGAGTCCAGTGATGAGGACGAGAAGGAGCAGTAATTCGGAACGAGCGGCGAGCTGGGACACGGAGGGAGCGTTTCGAAGCTGGGGTTGTATCCATCTTCTCCCTTGCTAATTTAACAGCCCAGGGAGCTACAGGGAGCTTTTGCTTAACAAATCGCTTGGAAGAAATCGTGCAGGTTTCAGGGAGACTGAGAGGTGAACCACGCTCACTGAGTGGTCGAAACGAGGCTGCCGAGGCTAGTTGAAAAGGAGGAGAATTCCAATGCTGACCCTTCAAGGAAGCTGGGGCCCCACCTGCTCTTTCGGCTCCTTCGAGGTCGTTCGCACACCTGCTAGGACATGAACGTGCCAAAAGCGATTCGGGACGAGAGGGTCTTCAAGAAGCTGAAGAAGGAGGCGAATGCGGCGAAATTGGCGGTTTCTGAGGAATTCGCGGTTGGGGCACTCCCAAGGTTGCTCGGGCACCACGCACGGGCACCACGCACAACCGTTTTTCATGCTTTTGACAGACAGGACTCCTTCCTCCGGTCACTGATGGTTGAACTGGGTGGCCGATGTTCATGGGTGATGATCTAAGGATGCCATGTGGCAAGTCTTTTTGACTCATATTCCACTTGATATTTGCTGCGCTTTTGGATGTTTGCAAGGGGTTGAACTGTCAACTTCTCCAACCATATAATATTGTCTTTTCTCTTGGAAAGTTAATCATCATCATTGCTTTCCACCAGAGTCAGAAGAAGTTTAGCAGAATGAAAGACGTGGCTAAGACATGAGAAGGTTTTCCAACATGTCCAAACAGCAGCGGTTCCGCTGATTTGATCGAACGAGCCGTTTTCGCACGCGCTTCGTTGCACAGCGAGCGAGCTTAATTCGCCGAAGAAGACGGCACAGGCGGAGCGGCCGCGTAGAATGCCCACGTGGGCTTGCTGCCGTGGGCTTGATAGACATCACGGTTTTGCTGTCCTCTTTAATTGAAGGATAGGATAGGATGATAGGATGATAGGACCAAGAAAACATAGAGAAACTTGCCTGGGATTTGACCCCGGATCCTCATGTTCACTGCTAGAGGATGATGCATGGCCACCCGATCTTTTCCCTTCCTGAAGCTGACTGCTGGCCATTTCCAAAGGGGTACATTACAGAGGTATAGAGTGCCTGCATTTCAGACTGTTTCATGTTGTTTCCTTGGAGACTCAGCTGGTGCAGTCTTACATGTGGGCTTTGTTTAGTCTCAAACCTCAACTGTTTAGTCTTACACTGATAGGTTTTCTTTAGTCTAAACGGTCCAAACGCTCCAACCTTTTGCATTGGTCTAAACGGACACTCCAGGACACTCCATTCCCTTCTTGCGTAACCGGTGCCAGGTATCGGAACCGATGCTTACGGTCCTTCCATTTCGGTTTTTTGTTCCTTTGATGGTTTCACTGGGTAGGAAGAGTTGACACTTGCACATTCTTTCACATATTGTACCTTCACTGCCTTTAGTGATTCCAAGCTCGGCAGTGACCAAGAAAAGGCCTAGTGACAAACCATCATTGGCGGAGCCAGGCGGATAACCTGCAGAAAGACCGGAAGTCCCTACCGGTTTATTTGTACAAGGCTGGGGATGCTGTAGTCCCTGTAAGATGCACCAGGGCATACGCAGGCTACGGCTAAGGCATTCCGGGCATGAACATCCATTTGCAACAACACAGTATTGTCAGTCAGTATTCGAGACATATCAGGACTCCATATTCCACAAGTATTTAATGGTGATGGGCAGTGCGTTGTGATCCAATGTTTTTTGTTGCTTCCCTTTCATTTCACGAGCTCATTTCCTCACAAAGTACCACTGCGCTTCTGCAAGCGTTGCAGTGCAGGAGCAGAAGGTCACTTGAGGGACAGTCAGAACGGTTCTATACTTAGTGCATTCTGACGCTGATGTGAACTCAAAACTGCAAGACCAATGATTTCTTTTGGATCGAGGGTAACTCCCCACGTTTGTCGGGGTACTTGGTGAATTGAACGCCAAAGAATGTTGGATCTGGAGACCGGTCTCACTGTTTCCAATAAAGAGAGCACATTCGCCATGAGTCTCTTCTTACCCTTGGATTATTTGGGATCCGTTTTCGTACCGAACCTCAGAAGGTACGACTGGACCCTCCAAACCTACATAAGAGTGTCTCCAATCATCTTCTGAGAAGGTACTTGGATCCCTAGGGCTTGTCATTGTTTTGGGGAATCGTATGACTTTTGGGGAGACACCTTCATTGCTCCCCAAGTGGTATTCTTCCCCTTTCTGCGACTCCTTACCCGGTATATTATGTTCTCTTCCAATGAATTCCCACTAAGTAGAGAACATAATGCTGTATTGGAAGAGAATGAATAATGCAGTATTATACATGTTTTTATGGCCTGGTATAGTATGTATAATATATTCCCACGAAGTGAATCCCGCTCCACGACGTGGGGAGGCGCCACTTCTGGAAGCCGTGCGAGACTACCAGGCGGGCAGAGGCCGATTCCATTGGCGAATTCCAGATGGGCCATGAATAGATAGAGGATGTCAAAACGCATGTTCGATCTAAACGAATTATAGACCTCTAAAGCTTGTCGTCTATCTATTCAAGGCTCCCGAATCCAACAGGCTCCCAAATTCAAAGCTGTGTTTGACATCAAAACGGATTCATTGGAATCCCAGCCTGGGAGGGTTCTCAGAGACTGAGTTCCACCACCCCATGGAAGACCACCGGTGACCTCGCCAGAGAGAAAACGTCGTCTCCATCGTGACATGGTGGATCCATATTTTTCTTCTCCATCCACCCTGCTTAGAGGGGGGGAGATCCACCAAGGATGTGCTGATCTCGGGGGCCATCAGCCGATGTCGACGTCGATCTTGTTCGACGCGAATCACCAGGTGTTGATCATCGTGGGCGAAACCGGCTCCGGAAAGACGACCCAGATCCCGCCCCCCGTTTGACTGCGATGGCCTTCGTGCCTCGCGGGGCGAGCTCGGGTGGGAGTCGGACTGTTGAGTGTTGACTGTTCATGAAGAAAACACCTCCCTGCCCAGATTCCTAGATGGTAAAATATGGTAACACATCTCAATATCGGGGTGTTATCAACAGTTAGCATTGTGTGCACCAGTAGATACAATTGCATGGATTGGCAATGCATGTGTGGATGGACGGATGGATCTGGTCGCCGGCGACTGGTGTCGGCAAAAGCTTCAGTACATGCCCATCCAATCTACATCGGGATGAAACAGCTGAGCTGATTCCATGTCTCAGCTGTTTATGCAGTTAGAAAGGATCCCTTTTTGTAAGCACTATGAGGGTCTCTATCCTTTGGAGCTGGGCAAAGTGTTGGCAAAAGTACCTGGCTAAGCCGTTGGTGTCTTAAACTTTCACCAAGAGAAAGGGGCTGTTGAACAACAGAAGAGCTGCATCATGCTCAAGAGACACACGGGTTCTCTCAATGGAGTCGTGGATCATTCTGTGAGCCGCCATTTCACCTAAGGCAGTATTTGCATGAAGTGGGCTACTCCAAGATCGGCAAGATCGGGTCGGCTGGCCCGGCCAGACAATGAAGAAAAACTGCTCCGAAAGCGCTCGGAGAGGGAGACCGGAAAAAGGGTGGTGCAGGTGGCTCCCTCGGACTGGTTAGAGGAACATGGACTGGCATCTCGGCAGATCTTCACTGTGTTGGACATGTTTGGAGGCCCCCCAACCCTACCCTGATTCGGACAGGCCCGAGGTGGAGGCCCTGCCAGAACGGACAGACGACCCTCATGACTTAAAGGCATGAACGACACTGAGGGGTTCAATAACAGGTTCTTTCGATTCTTTTTTAAGTATCTTATGAAACATCATGGTTTCAGAGGCTCGATGGCACATCACTACCCCAAGTTGGTGTTTTTTTTCAGGACTCCCCATCTGTCATCCGACCTCTTTGGGGTGCCAGTGCGATCGAACCTCTGGAACTACTGTACTCATTTCCAAACAAAACTGGGTGTCAATAGGGAGACCTGTGATGAATTGGTGTACTATTCATTTATGAATTATTGTACACTTATGAATAGTACTCCTTACTGTGTCATATTATATAATAGGGAGCCCTCCCAAACGTCCCGACCCCCCTGGAAGGTTTGGGGACATCGACCATACCGCGATCGGGGCGAGAGCGAGAGGGGCGGGGTCTCCCTGGCCGCGACTCGGCCCCCGGAGAACGCACCACGACTCCCTCGCCTCACCTTGGCCAGGTGTACTCAGCCTCGGCGTGTGGCTGCCATGTCCGTCCGAGGGCCTGGCGGCACAGGGTCGAGGGTCTCACCGTTCACTGATGAACGAAAGATTGTTGTAGACCTGACAGGTAGGCCAAAAAAAAAGGGTGCCGTTTGGTAGAGGACTTCATTACACGCCTTCCCAGCAATCATTCCATCCTGCGCTTGGAACTGAAAAGCTTCGACATGCTTTTTTGGGGTCATTGGGCCACTGGCTTTGAGCAGACCTGGACCTATAGACAGGGAGAACCAGCAGGATGGGATTCATTCCGCTGAAATGGTCGCTGCAGCGAACGCATAGCCAAAACTGTCGAGTGGTCATCCCATCAACGGCAAATTAATCCAGTGGCTCTGGAATCTACGGCGAACATCAGTCTTCCTGAGTCTTACCGGTATGACACCCACTGAAGGTTTGTTGTCAAAGCCATAAGACCTTGGGTCAACACAAAGCATCCAAAGAAAACGTCTTTCGGCATTAAGTAATAAGACTCTGCAGAGTTTTCCTGTATGTTCAGTGTTCACCAGTGTTCACCTTTTGCCAGAGGCCAGAGCTTTTTTCCTCGCACATGTTTTTGGACCGAGCTCCGCTTCCTTCGCTTAGGTGGCCGCACGCGTGGCGAAAGAGTATGGCCTGGGCCACAGAGAGGATGTGGCGGGGGCTTTATTGCAAGAGCATATAGAACCATTGATCGAGAGTCAATCGATACAAGGACCTAAGGGTTGTCAGGGACCAAAAAAGAACTGACAGGTACTTGCTTGTCACTTAGGTTGACACATTGACTAAGTCCTCCCCCCCATCTTCGTCCCCACACGGATCGGGCGTCGGCTTCGCCGCTGCGAGGCTGCAAGGTCGGCCATGAGGTTGGCTACAACATCCGTTTCGAGGACCGGACTCACCCTCACATCGGTTGACGCGTTTGCGCTGTTTTCTTTTTTGTTGTTTTGTTATTATCCGTGTGCACGGCACGTTTTTGAGGGCTGCCTCGATGATTGATGCTTGGGATTCAAAATGATCAGATCCCTGTTCAGCTGGTTTTGAAGGACGTGGCCGAACTGCAGTCACACAAAGAACACTTGTCGCGGTCTACCTTGTTCGCATTCGTTTGTTCCTGCTGCCAGGATTGTACCACAGACCGCACCATCATTGAATACATGACCGATGGAATGCTCCTGCGGAGTTTCTTGCTCCTTGCCTCAATCAGGGTGGCTCCACTGTTGTGGGAGGTGCTGTCATGGACTGACCACGGACTCACGGACTCATGGACTCGTGGGATGTGATGCTACCTAAATATGTACTAAAGCTTAAGGATATCGACATGCGGTGTCCACATGTGGATCTCCATGTTCTCAAAGAGACCAAACACTATGGACCTGTGGCACGAACCTACAGGGTGGGAAGGAGCCGCTCCGGAACGAACCGCTCCGGACTCGTCCCGAGGAACGAGCCTGACATGGCGTCCTATTCGGCGCGGGGGCCCGGCCGCGCGGGGCGGTCGGAGACCGAGTCGGTGGGTCGACGGCGGAGACCGACCGATTTTCCGAAGAAAGGAAGTAGACGACCGGTTGGACCCAGCCAGGGCCAGGGGGTCTTCCTAATAAGATACACACCCCGGTGGAACATCTGGAGGTGCGTAGCAGGGGGTGAGAACCTTGGCCAGAATCCATCCAGAGGGGGCCCCCTCTCAAAGCGCTTCCAGAATGCAAAGAAGCGAGCCAAAGTACTGCAACCCTGAATTCAGAGAGGTTTTGTTTCTCTCGCTTATCTTTGGGCCGATTCTCCTTCAAAGATGCTCACACAATCCATGTGTTTCCGCCCCTTTTCTCTAGATTTCTCGTACTTTTGGCCTGGACGATTTGCTTCTGCTTTGGACATGGAGAATGATCTCGATCGGTCCCATTTTCAGCAATTTTCAATTTGTAATAGTTTTTCTATGTGAATGGCCGGTGATGATTCACTCATCTTTGCACAAATCTTTGAGTCACCGAGTCGCTTCGGGTTTTCTCAGCAACCCGCAGGTCATGATGATCGATGAAGCGCACGTGGCACGTCTCAGTGCTCTCACGAGCCGTTTCGCGAGTCGTTCGGGAGAACGACCTGTGTTCAGGGTGGAAGAGGAGCCATGAGCAGTCGAAATGCTGAAAACACCAGGAAGCACTGACATCCATTTTCCCTGTGTCGATCATCACTGTTGACAGTAGATGAGGTATCTCCAACGTTTCTTTGGCTCAGGATTTCTTCCTTTAACAGTGAGGGGCGTGTCGATCGACATGACGGTGCCACATCACTACAAACCACTCCCACCAGGGGTGAAGCTCGCGGGCGAAGACCAAATCCAGAAAACAGCCGGTTTCGCAGGTTTCAAGCCTTTTTGGACAAGTTTCTGGGGCGGAAGCATGCATGAGCCATCTTTGTAATGTTTAAACAAAAAGAGTTACTACCAGGGCACCCCTCCCTGTTTGGGGTGGTGAATGGACACCCTGAATCACCTCTTTTCGGGGCCATGATTAGATACCCCGAAACCGGGGGGGCCGTACAAACTGCATGGGCTCGATGAAGCGATGGTAAGAGGGGGGTTCTGCATGACGCTGAGAGTCATCACACACTGAGGAACGGACGCTCCACACAGACGTGCTCTTCGGATTAGTGAAGGATGTCTGTGACCCAGGTGTTTTGGAGTTGCTGGGCACATGTTTGCTTTGACGGGCGACATGAATCATGAACCACCAAAGAGCCTGTCACTGTGAGGAAGACTGAAGAGAATGGGGCCACCCACACCGGCCCACACCCACCTTCACCACGACGTCCGAGCCGCGACCGAGTTGATTTGGAGGTGTGATGTTTGGGCTCGACCCGTGACGCCGCGACGTCCGGTGCAACAAGGTGGCCCGCTTTCGGCAAGACTTGAAGCTGATCATCTCATCGGCTTGGATCCCAACCTGAGCAGCCATGCAGCTTAGGCAACAGAATTGAGGATCAGAGTGGCCGAGTAGGTGTTGGTTAGGTGTTGGTTTCGACTTGTGAGCCTATGGAGATGTTCTTCCATCAAGAGCTAAGACAGCTAAGACCTGGTGCCAGCAACTCGCACCTGCCATGCAACAGGTACGCCCGAATTGGAACATGTTATATAGATTTACCTAGAACCTGAATGACCTCTATTTTGGACCTCCAACCACTCGAAATACGGTCTTTTCCTATCAAAACAGGTGAAAGGAAGACAGAAACACACAGCCTTGTTTGTTTGGTTGTTTGTTTGTTTGTTTGGTTGTTTGGTTGTCTGTCTGTCTGTCTGTCTGTCTGTCCGTCTGTCCGTCCGTCTGTCCGTCTGTCTGTCTGTCTGTCTGTCTGTTTGTCGCACCCAAAGGTCATTTGGTTTGTTTGCGTTGGTAGCTGGCTTTTCATGGGGATCCGGGATACGAAGAGCTTCCGCAGCTCCACGGATCAGAGGACATGCCCACCCAGCTTCCCACTGGATCGTATCCAGCAGCAAAGCCGCCGGACCACCTGGCTCACCGCGACAAACCGCGACACCCAGGCCACCTTGGACGCAGAGAAGTTCTCCGAATACTTTGACAATGTTTGGAAGCCCCAGCATTTCTTGTAGCGAGGGCTTCGGAGTCCGACCGATGAATGTGATGCCCTTCAGTCCGACCTACTAGTTGGACTGCTGCACGAGGTAGGGCTTCACCAAGCATCTGCCCAAACCGTTCGAAATATTTGGTTTGCTGCAAAAGCCGAGCACTGCTCCAGAAGCCAGGCTATCCATGGATGGTCATGGAGATAGATGGTTCAAACAAGTTGAGAAAGCTGATTCTGAAGGCGGTTTTCTGAGTAGCGAGAACCAGATGAAACTTCTTGAACACAGAAAAAAAAACAACAAGAAAAGGAATGTTTTCCACCTCCAGGTTCCCCCTTTTCTAGTGTTTCTTTCTGCACCTTCAATCCATTTCAGCATGCATAAAACGACCCACCACGCCCAAACGCCCACACCGCACTTGTCCCAGGCACCGATCTTCAACGTCCCGGGCCGCCGATTCCCTGCCCGGAGACCCAGCTCCGAGGACAGACGTGCTCTGTGCTCCGTGCTCCGCGTGGGTCGAAACTGGGAGAGGATCCGTCCGCGTGGTCGTCCGCATGCAGCCGAGTATCATGCAGCAGGACTCGAAAAGGTGCATAATGTGTTTCTTTTTTTCCGGGTGGAAACTGGGAGAGTATCTTGGAGAGTTTGACACGACGTATCACACCAAACTCACTCACCAAACGCTGCATTTTTTTTTATCGGCCTCCTTCCGGCCGATGGGACGAATTCCACAGCCTCGTTGTCGTAGGATCCGACCCACCGACTGGACACAAACATGTGACACTCCCTTGCTTCGATCGATCCTTCCATTCACAAGATGAATCCGAAGGACAAACCGCCAAACCGCAACTCCACCGGGTCCCGTGGTCTTCACTCAAGGCGCGGTTGGTCGGCCCAGGTGAGCATCCACTACACCAAGGCGCCTGAGGCCAACTACTTGGACGCCTGCGCCCGGGCGCTTTCAGGTCACGACGTGACGAGTGAAAAAGCCGTCGGGGACGGCTGAAGTGAGTGAGTGGACACACCCCGGAAAGAGTGAGATATGTTGGCTGATACCCCTCCAAAAGATTGTTTGTTCTTATTTTGTGGGATGGTTTTTGTTCAGAAGTGCTGTAGATTGAGCATTTATTGACGAGTTATTGTTTGTTCCCGTAGCTTGCATGTGTTTGTTCATGGCATGCCACATGAGTGTAGGACCTGACGTCGCCTTCGCCTCCTCGGGCCTCTTCGCCTTCTCAAGCACTACACGCATGAGACAGGGGACAAACAATGAAAACACTCGGAGTGTAGGACCTGTGACCGCCCTGTGACCGCCCTGTTCGCCCGACCTCAGGTCATCACGGTGCTTCAGATTCACCTGACTCAAGGGTGCGGGACCCGCGGGTCCGCGGGGTTTTTACCCGGGCGGAACCGGGGACCGGTGACCGAGCCTGATGCATGCCCCTTGCGCAAGCGCAAGAGACCCGTTTCATCAGTCTTTGCGCTTCCAGCTCTTAGCTTCCTTTCCAGATGGCACACGGGTGGCCAAACCCGCCAGGACGTGCCAAAGACTTGTCCCTCTCCGAGCGGACGCCGCAGGCCTGGCGATGTCTTGGTCTTCTTCACGGGCCAACAGGAGATTGAAGAGGCTGTTCTTTCGATTTTCTTGGCTGCGGTGTTTTCTTCGCGGCAGGAAGGAGCAAAGAAGGAGGCAAGTCTCATGATACCAGTGGCCCTGAAAACCATGGATCAGGTTTTCACCCTGTTTTTTGCTACGGAAAACCAGGTCTTCGATGGTTTGTGATGGTTTGCGAGGTGCTGGCAGTTTTTAGATTGACACTGTAGGCACTCGAGTCCAAGGAGGTCAAATCCGCGGAGTTCTTGCAACAAGTGAACGCACATTTCCATGATCGATTTGCAGCGGTGATACACAGTTTTTGTGTGTTGAAGAGCTTCACCCTTTGGTACGTTTAATATACCATCCACAGGCATCCACAGGCTTCATGGGAATCTGCACCAGACCATGAGGAGAGTTCATCATTGACAATCTAATCATATCTATGGCGCTGTGAATCATTCTTTTGCACTACGTAGTCCTTCACTTGCAAGCGCATCCAGTCCTGATAATGATACCTCCAGCTTCAAACTCTCTTTTCAGGTGAACTTCCCAACAAAAACCGCCTTCGCAACAACAGATTGCATGACCTCCCCTACTGCCCTCCCCTCCCACATTGACGGAGGATGGCTTGGGACGCTGCACCTTCCCCGCAGCACCGGGCACCGCGTCTCGTCTCGTCGAGGCCATGGACCTCTTGAGCTTCAAGACGCGAGGCGCGCGGAGCCCGGAGCGGACCCGGTTCACCGCACCGGAGCGGCAGACCACGAAGAGGACGGTGAGTGAGCGGAAAGGTCTCAGTCTGACGCGTGAAGGGCGGAAGAAGTGAAGCGTCTAGAATAGAGGGCGCTCATCGTCTAGATCCTGCATGTTTAGCGATGTCTATGTGGAATCATCGAGCACTGAGCACCATTAAATGATTTTTAATTACATGCATTTACTATAGAACACAACTATAATATTTACTTTGTATGAAATTACTATAAGTACTATATAACTAAATAATATTCTATAACATGCTATATAGCTCGACATCATCTCGATTCCGGTTCCAACGGCCTTTGGCTTGCACTACACGGCTGGCCGCAGCGAACGACTGATGAGGTACTGTAGTTCTATCAGCTGCGGACAGCGAGAAGTTCCCTTAATTAAGATCCGAGTCTTTCACATAAAAAATGGCCTGGAGACAGGGTTGTTGTGGGTTTTGGAGACACTCGAAGACTGCATCCGAGTTCTTCAGTTTTGAAGTCTTTGGGGGTCCACAGATGTGTCTTTCAGTTTCTTCTGCTCGTCGCTCATCCACAAGGGTGAAGAAGGAGTCTTCTGCGCCAGGCATGGGAACCACCATGGGTGAACTTTTGGTGCTGCCCATCTATGCCAACCTGCCCACTGACATGCAGGTCAGATTGCCTTTGTGGGTATAGTGTGCAAAGGGTGTGCACCGGGGCGGAATCAGCTCGAGCGGCATCTCGCAGGTTGGCCATGTGGCACCTTCCTGAAGCCTTGCACAGTCATCCGAAATCGGAGACTTCGTCGGTCGTCGGCCGCAAGAAATGGGTCCAAGGCATATATACAGACTACAAATACCATCAAATACCTACAAACTGCAATTTGATGGACAAACTCCTGCGCGACCCGAGACTTCAACAAGATGGTGAAGGGTATTTCTACAGGTTCTCTATTGAGAGCGCTGGGTTTGGACGATTCGACTACAAAACAACAACGGTTCACTGTCGTTTTAAATGCCTTTGCTCACCAAAGGCACTCAGAAAGAGAACATGAACGCAAGGATGAAGCAAACAAGACTTCAGACCCTTGGGTTTTCAACATTTAATCTCTCATTTCCCAGCGAGGGACACTCCAGCTTCACATCGCATCACATCGCTGCTCACTCTTCAGAAAGAGATCGCGCAGCACCAAGTGAAGCACCAAAATCTAGTGATCGAAAAAGGACAAGTCCTTTCTCTGGCTAACAGGATATATGAACAGGCGATAAAAGGACTTGTCCCGGTCATGTTTTCTCTCTTTCCCAAATGGGCCTCGCGGGTACCCGCGGGTAGACCGACCGCCTCCTCCGGTCTGTGAGGCGAAGATCTTCGAAGCCACTCCACCGGGCGCGCGCGAGGCCCCAGCGGCGACGCCCCAGGCGACGGCGGCAAGTAGAGAACTCCCAGATGTTCAGAGGGGCGGGATGACCATGTCCAACACGAGGCCACAACGGTCAAGAGGTTGCTTGCTCGGTGTTGTGATGTTTGGTTAAATGTATGACAAAGTTCGACATCCTGAGTGAAATCCGAGAAAACTGGGCGTTTGGCAGCTAAGCGTGACCGGTTACAACAGTCCCCAAGGTGTTTTTCTTGGCTGCAACAGCTGCGGCATTCCCAAAGACATGAGAGGATAGTGATCCAGACATATCCAGACACGCTCGGAGAAACGGTCAAAACATGTGCACCTGGTCTTGGGAACAACTGTCAGCCATTACAAGGGCCCATTTCAGTTGGCCACAGTGTGCGTAAAATGTTTGGCCATGTTGGGCATTTAGGTTGGTCATGAACAAGGCCTGCACTGACATCACATACCACAGGACAAGTGTGTATATTAACCAGTGGTGCTTCAGCAGTAGTACAGGGTGACAAGCTCCATTTGCTCAAACTATGACAACTGCATCGGTTGCAGGTGTAAATGGACCAAGAACTGGTTAACGTGATGTTTCACAAACATATAACAACAAGTCTAACACTAGCTACATCATAAGATCCATGTGCCATCTTTCCGATGCTCGTGCCGCACCCTCGGCGCCCTCGCGTCCCGAACATCGCTCAGGCGGAAGGTGGTCTTGGCCACGAACATCGCTCCTTGGTGAAGCGAGACGAGACGTGGACGTGGCGAGAACCGCGGCGTTCGAATCGTGGCGTGAACGGCGGCGGGAGGAGAGACTCGATCCTTTTTTGTTGTCCCAATTTTTTTTGCATTTGAATGCAGAATTTGTTGATTTTTTTAAATTCTTGATTTATATAGAACCTAGAGAATATTATACAGAATACCTTTCTACTGGCAGATGTACCTCTCAGCTAGGATTTACAGCATGTGAACTTCATTCGGGCGTACTCTAGGCCCTCTTGATTCTTGATAAGCGTCCATTGGGCATGAAGGATTTCCTTGTATCTATGAACAGAAGAATTCCGACAAGCAGCTATGCCCCCCGAAGCGTGGTCAACGTTCAGGATTTCTTCAGTTATGTTATGTCTATAGATTGTATACATAAGACATAGATCCCAAGCGCCAGCTTCCTTGAAGAGATATAGATCGACATACATGCATCTGCATATAGTCATCCTGGGAGATTCCAAATATAGAACACAGGAAACTGGTGACGTTCTTTTCTTTTTTTTCCATATTCTATTCTACTCCAGGATGGTTGTATATGGTTGTATATCACGATCATACGGGACCCCCGGATTCCCGCGGATCCGACGAGGCAGAAACCTCCATCACCATCGACAACATCGTGTTTGTCGCTTTGGCCATGGAGCAAGACATGGGGGGCAAAACGACGACCCTTTTCGGCGTAGGAAAGGTGATCCATCCGGGCCATGAATCAAGACATGTGGGAACATGGCTGTTTATCGGCTCCCCTTTTAGGTCCGGAAGAGCATGAAGACCATAAACATCCGAAGACCCAAACAGGGGGGGTTGGATGTCGTATGCTGGATGTACTGGTAGTATGAAACACATGCGAAGACGAGCCCTTGTCTATGGTCACATGGGGATAGGCAGGACGTGACAGGACAAGTCAGGACGACAGGTTCAGATGCCAGCGGCGGTTCCTTTAAGGCTTTGATCAGAAGATCTGCGAACATCGCAGACGGTCTCTGAAAAGCCTTACTAGATCCCGCAAAAAAAGGGCTCCTCTCTTGCATTGGAACCAGAGAACCAGGTGAACTCGCGCGAGTTCTGCGCGCGCTGTTTGCAGGTCATCGATCCAGGCTTCTGCAAGCAGAACTCCTTCAACCCTCGAACTGGCATGGAGTCACTCGGCACTTGGAACACGAACCCAGCCGTCTCGGACGCGTGCCGTCTCACTGCATTTGGAATACTCCTCCACTGCAGTACTATAAGTATATATACAAAGGAGTCGTTCAGGACTTCTTCCAACTTAATGCATCAGTCACCCACGCTGGTTACAGTAGAACAAAAGCACCCACCAGATCCCCCCCAATACCCGCAGTTGAACGGCTCCAGCCCACCATGGCGCGCTTCCTGGCCCTTGCCGGCCTGGGCTTCGGCCTTCCCTTCTTCCTCCCCAGTGTGCACCGCCACCCCGGGGCGCCGGGCACGTGGCGCGGCGCGGCGGGCGTGCCGCGCGGCGCGGCACGTGCAGCGTCCCGTGAGCGGAGTGAAGGCAGCTGGGGCGCCTTGGCAGATGTTGAGGTGTGGAGGGGTTTCGGGTAGCTTACTTAGAGTCTTTTCTGTAAGGGTTTGGGGCATATATTGTGGTCTTGTGCTTCCATAAAGATGTAGAAACAGTTGGTGGTGCAGCATGATATAGCTGCTAGCCTGATGCAACATTCGTTCCAAGTCTGTTTGAATCGAAAAAATCCATTGAATTCACACTTCAGGTGCTAGCCTTCCTCTCTTGGCGGTGGCTGTGGCGGCCAGCGTCGGGCACAGCACCCGCCGGAGCAAAGAGAAGGAAGAGAAGGCCGAAAGCGGGCAAGCAAAAAATAGACGAAACAGTGAGACTATGAATGCATTCTGAGATCAACGACAAACGACGAAACTGCTTTGCTTCGCTCTATACACCTCGGTACGCTTAACCTGTTTGAATGAGCGAGGTACGAACAGGTTCTGGCTTTAAGAGGCGAAGTCATGTGAGTTCTGCCGAGCTGTTGATGCATTGAATGACTGTCACTGTCCGAGCTGTTGTTTTGACTGCTGTCCCTGAGAGCGTAGATGTGCTGAAGATACGATGCGTTCGCTTTTGTTCCAACACCCCCAAGGCAAATCCTGGTCAAGCTTTGCTTTCTTGATCTTTATGCACAGGAGTCTGAAGATGAGTGGCGCGATGCACAGATGCTGGACTGCAGTGAAGTGAGGCGGTCCCAAAAAGCCTGTCGGCTTGCTTTAAGTGTGTAGATTGCACCAGCGAACATCAACCTCCTTCAACCGGAAACCAAAACTGGTCCAATCCTTTCAGGGGCAACTTAGGAGTGGGACCCGCTTGGACCCGCTTGTTGTCTCCCCGAACGTCTCCGACCCCGGCGACCGCCCCCTTCACCGGGCTTTCTCCGCATCGGTCGGTGGCGTTCGCGTCGCTCGGCGACGCTCCGAGGACCATCTCGGGATTGACCTCTTCGGTGGGCGCGGGAGTGGTCGAAGCTCGGAAGCGGAGCGGCCGATGGTCGACGGACGGGTCTGTGTTTTGAGAGTTGGATGTGGGAGCCAATTGGTGTAGAGGCAGAAGCCAAGATCCTTCAGCAGAAAGCTGGCGCTTTTCAACTGAGCTAGGAGATCGTTCGGAGGTTCTTTTTCAGCATGCGGCTATTGGCTCGAGAGTGTCGCACGAGCTATTTTTTAATCCATATTCTTTATTGCATTTTATTGCTAAAAGTAGAGGGACCACAGCTGGTAAAGGTTCGTGAGTGCACCAAACTTGGGGTCCTGTCAGCAAGGCGCTCTAGGAGGAACGTGGATCACTTTATAGATGTCAGGCCTAGGGCCTACTACAAACGTCAGCGCGTGCTTGTGTTTGTTTGCCATGTTGCCCGGGAAAAAAATGGTTTGTTCGCCTACTATATGGTTTGTTCGCCTACTATTTACATGTACAATCTGTTTACACGATTTTACAAGCGCAAAGAAGAGGTAGAGAGAGATGATCAAACTCACAACTGCTTCGCTCGGACCACATCAAGATGATCAAGGTGGGCAGGTGAGCACATTTACTGTAGACATTTTTTCATATCATATCTCACAAAATTGAGGACTTCAGGGATGAGAAGAGTTGAGTTAGTGTTAGGAAACCATGAGGCCTCCTCAGGGAGATCCGCAGGTTTTCTCCTATCGTTCGATTGACCAATGAGTGAGTTGAGGAGTTGATTCCCTCTTGGTGTTCCCCAGAACATGTTGTTCGCGCACGCGTGGGGTGAAGCCACATTGTTGGCACCTGCTCAGAACAACATCGAGATTGCCAAGATCTTGCCACATCGTTATCCCTTCCTCTTAGTGGACAAAGTCATCCACTTGGAGAAGATGAAGCGAGCCGTTGGGGTGAAGCCACTTGGCGGCTGGCAGATGTTTGTTTTTGGCCCGTATTCCACCCCAAATCGAGATGCAGCCCTGGTCCACAAAAAATGCAGCCGATCACCAGGCAATGGAGAATCGATTCCCTCCTTAGCCTTAGATTGGGTTTTCCTACTTAGCGGCCCTATCACTGTTCGGAACGCCTGGGAGGGGTTCACAGAAGCAAGAGATCGATTATACCTAGATCTTCAGTCCGGCACTTTTACAGGGTCCGGCGCCGGACTTCCAACTCCGGCGTTTTTCTGGATTTGGTCCGGCGCTTTTTCCAAGTCACTTTATGTGGGTTCTCAAGGCTTTGCATTCTTTGTGGTCTGATTTCTTTGAAGGTAAACCCGCTACTGATGCAATGACTTTGTTTGCAAAGTGTGCTCGTTTGCCTGTTCCGCTGTTTTCTCATTCCACCGGTTTCAGCATGGTTCACACTGGATCAATCAGATTCGTTTAGGTGATCTTCTAAATGAAATCGGATGAAGCCGGTACAGTGCGATGCACCTGTTGAAAGACCCAAGTGGGTGTACCTAAGCTGAAAGAGCATAGGCAAAAATGTACTCCCATTGTTTCAGGATGTCGGGGCGCTGGGATATAGTTCTAGCTGCGCAGGTTTGCAGAGCCTGCCGGACAAGTTTTGGGCTGTGGAACATGTGTTGTTCAGAATCTCAATGTTTTGCAGAGAGTTGTGTCAAAAAATGGCACGTCGTAACTCCGGCGTAATTTCCCGTAATTCCGGCGTAATTTCCCGTAACTCCGGCGTAATTTCCCGTAACTCCGGCGTATTTTTAGGGACTGAGTCTTCTGCAGGCTTTGATTGTGAACAGTTTTTCACAGAAGAGTTTTGACAGGAACCATGAGTTCTGCTACTACTTTATTGGGGGGCCGTCCTGAGGCAAGCTTCAATGAAACATTAAGAAGCATAAGAATCATGGAGAGCAGCCCACTTTGTAAAAAAAACACTTTAGAGACACGGTTGCAGAGAAAGAGGGGTTCCTTGCCACATACTCCTTGTTTTTTCTTGGAAGTCTTTGCTTGGGCACAAGTTGCTTATATTGTGTGATGGTTTTGCTCTTAGGCCATTCGGAAGATGGGCGAGGGCAATGGGAACGGGAAGGTTCGAGTGTGCTCCAGAAAAACTACTCGCGGCGCAAAGGCAGTTTCCTTGTGTCTGATCCAACCTTTTATCATCTCTGTTTTTTCAGAATCTTGGATCCGGATGTTTTTTCAGGTCTCCGGCGTTTTTTTTCGGAATCCGGCGGAAAATTTTGCCGGATTGAGGTCCGGCACTTTTTTCCGCCCAAAGGAAGATCCAGGTATAAATTCCAAAGACATCCTGGTCACCCAGACGTTGAGTAGGTCTCCTCATTTTGAGACACACTGTATTCCAGTGTCTATTTGTTTGACCCTGTTTGCACCCACCGGCCACCGCAAACTCTCCCCGCTGGGAGTCTCGTAGCCATCCTTTCTGAGGAACATCACTGCCAATGAGCCGCAGTTCACAGGCGGGACGTGAAGAGCCGCAGAACTCTTCAAAGTCCGTACGTGATCCATCGTGATCCTACACCGAAATCGGTGGTTTCAGAGTAGAACAAGCCGGTCCAATCAACCCTTTGTTGGATGAAGATGCATGCAAAACAGGTTGTGCAATCTACCTTGTTACTAGTTACAAGGCGTTCTCTTTATGGGTAGGGGAAGATCTGTTTTGGATTGGCTGTCCTCTTTTGTCAACCTTTTGGGAGGTCGAACGATGACAGGCAAACGAGAGTTTCAGCAGTGCACAGCGGAAGGTTTGGGTTGTGAAGGAGGGGTCCTCAGGAAAGTTTTGGCATCACCAAAACATCTTTGAACCCCTTGTGTTTTCTCATGTGCTTATCCCCCCCCAGGTTTGCCAAAACCATGCAAAACCACTTCCTTACTTGAATCTAAGAACGACGCACTTTGACATACTTTAACACAGTGATAATCAAGATTTTTAAAGCAGATTGTTAGCTTGAATGCCGATTTTTTGGGGTTTCGTATTGATATGTGCTCGTGTTTCACAACTGTTGGAGGCTGCTGCAATAGTAATTTGTCGGCAGGCAGGTCTTGTCTTTTCCGACCAGGATGTCCAGACTACTACTTTATCCAGAGATTGTTTTCGACATGTGTCCAGTTTCGATACCGACTCAACTTTTGCCGAATGGTACCTGCTTTTTGTGACCTGGGTCAATGTGAGAAGGTCCACGCATAGCTGCCTTGCCAAGTCTTTTTTTGTTTGACGGTCGCAGCACGAGGCCATTTTCCGGAGAACCCCATCATGCCCGGTGTGTTGCAGGTGGAGGCCAGATGTGTTGCAGACCAAGCAGATCGGGTGAGTCCGACAGCTCCTGTTGTCCGAAACAAGACATGCAAGAAGGGAGATCTTGAGATGGTTTCAAGACCCAGGAACATGCGACATCTTTTTTTGAACCACACCCGCACCCATATAGCCAGGCCCGCAACAGGATAGATGTGAGTTGATCAGCTCGAGCATCGACCATTTAGCTGATTTGACGTTCGCTCAGTCCGCAAGTTTGGTGGGGTTTGCCTTTTTGGTTCGACACCATTCTCAACGTGAATCAACTGCAGGTGTTTTCCCACCTAAAACGCGCCGATGCGGTGACCGTTCACGTTTTTGCTTTAAACCCTACTTCCTTTTTGATGACATGATTGGCAGAATGTGTTGATTTCTTGCTCTTCGAAAAAGCTGGGTCGCAGGCGTTGGCGCAGCTGGCAGGGGTTGTTTGCATGCAGCCGGGAGACCAGGTCCTCTTTGCCGGCATCGATGGAGTCCACTGAGCGGCACAGAGGGGTGGCAGGAGCCTTGTTTCCCGGTGGGAGAGACAGATCACGTGGAAGGACTTCGAAGAAAGACACTGAAACAAACTGAGAACGCATAGAAGGAATGCTTAAGATGGAGACGTGCCTCTTTGTAGAAGCTTCCTGTTTGTATTGTATCTAGAAGGCCCCCTTGTTGCAATCCTAGTACATGGTAGAATGGTCTACAAACTTCCACTGATTCAAGGCTAACAGGCTCTAATATTATATATTTAGATATTCGTCCAGTCCAGGCACCTTGTAATTGCTTCGGTCGAGACACCCTGCACTCCATCAGATGGCATACTGTAATTATTGTTATACATCCCATGCTGTGCTTTGTGGGTTGCAGTTCTTGTTTGGATGTTTTAGATCAACGTCACAATTTCCTCCTTGTTTGAATTTGCAGTCTTTCTGAAGAAGGGATAATTATACCTTTTTCCGGCAGCCAGTTCAGCAACAAAAAATGCAATGTCAGAGTTCGAATCAGAGGCATTGCAGGCACTGCCTGGTCGCTGTTGGCATGAATCCTGGATAGGATAAGGACGGTGCCAGGATCCGCAACACCAGTAGTGGAGGGATCAACAGTTTTTGTTGGACACTGTTTTTGTGCTTGGATGAACCGTCAATCTACCAACAAGTTCGATCAATTTGCAAGCCCTTTCACTCCCTTCTTCAGCCCTTTCACTCTCAATGTGATGAGTTTCTTCACCCACAGCCACATGACTTGGTGGATCACCAGAAATCAACACCCACTAAATCGTCCCCCTCACCAATGAGGTGAAGTTTCGCAAGCCGGTGGTGCCTGGGGACACCTTGGTGATGGAGGTGGAAGTGAAGAAGTTCCGAGAAAAGGCGAGGAGTGAGGAGTGAGGAGTGAGTTGGAACAGTGGGGATGGGATGGGTACGACGATGGGTATGGGAGTTGAAGCTATTTTGTTGAGATGTTCTCTTTTTAGTTATTAACGATTCTGCGCAAAAGACGAAATACAAATTAGCATGTCAGGTGATTTAGCAAGTCGCATTTTCCGAACAGGGAGGTGAGACATGTGAGACAGTTCTTGGTGGAGCCCAAGGGTTGTAAAGGCACACTCCTTGACTACTTGAAAAGAGGCCAAAAACTTCAACAATCAAACTTCCTCTCAAACCTTATCTCGAAATCCAAAGCTCCAGTGTAGCATCACTATCATAATACATGATTATTTTAGGGTTCTTTGGGACCCTTCAGCTCCTCCACACCATCATACCGATGGTCTGTTTCCACACGGCACCAGTCTTCTTGCAGGTGGGCATTGCCAAGATCACCGGTGCGGCCTATGTGGATGGAACCAAGGTTTTGGAAGTGAAAGAATTCACCTGCGCCCCGGCAGGCTCCCGCGTCGGTCGAGCGGGAGATGTCGTGTCGTCCATGTCGTCCCGGGACGGCGGCGGAGATCCTGTCGGGGTGGCGGGGGGAAAGCGTTTTGGGAGTCACCAGAGATGGAGAGAGGTTTTGAAGTCATGGTGAGATGGAGGGCCCATTTTCCGGTGTTTCGTCGATGGTGCAAGCGAGCACCGGGTGCTCCTTCACGGGGCTTCGACGTCCGAATGAAGGGTCTAGACTCGACGATCGAAAGCCTCCCAAGTTTCTTTTGCAAGCTTCCATGCTGGGACATGCTCGCGCTGGCGCACGGTCAAACCTAATTTTGGAAAGTGGTCAAAGTGATGATTAGTTCTCCCAAAAGCATTGCTGGCGACTAGGGACAAGAGCGCACACATGGAGCAAAAAAAGCCGCGTCGGACGTGGACACGTGAGAGAGCTGTACAAAGCTGTTATGATCAAAGGAACACACACACACAAACACAAACACACATATACACACACACACACCAGGACCATTCACGAAACAGACACTGCTTGGACCAATCCACTTAAACCGTTTAACCTGACTGAACCAAACGAACCTGACTGAACCAAACGAAGTTAGATCCATGGCCCGGGTAGCCAACTGTTTCAGCCAAGGTGCCCTGGTGAAAGACCCTTGGCAATGATCGGTGGCAAGACATTTCAATGCGTTGTTGGTACAAGCTACTTTTTGACAAACCAGCAGGTGGGTTGCTGAAATGTCCACCATGTGTGATGATGTGCTTTCAAGATGTTTGTTTGCTTCCCCCGCTGTCAATAGATTGATATCATTGACCAACCGTGGTGGAATGCTTGGCTTGCAGTATATGCATCTGTGGAGGCTATTTGTAGATTCCTCAGTGACCATCGAAGGTCTGGTCGTTTGTTCGCTTTTCACGACGCCCGGTGTCCTTGTCATTCTTTGAACGGTTTCGACTTAACGAGCCTCTTCATGGAGAGAGAGAGAGAGAGAGAGATGGAAGAGATTGGCCTGCTAAGAGCCAATTCCGAGGAAAAGAAGTGAAGCTTTCTGGATGCTGTGCTGGCATCCAGTGCCAAAGATTTGAAGGAAATGATCCGTGAAAAGCAATAGACAGGCCTGGACATGAACGTGTTTGTCCGTACATGAGCTCATATCATTGATTTGCCACTTCTGGAAACAACATGGTGATACATAAGAAGAGATGAAAGCGCCCTGCCGCTCTGTCCTTGGTTTGCTCATTGCTTCGTGTGCTGGAGCCAAATACGAGAGCTGGAGCTTATTTGACTTTTGAAGCTCCATTTGCAGCAGTGGCCGAGAACCTTTAGAGTGGTAGGTAGTGCTCCCAAGCAGCCACTATCTATATAGGAGCAGCAACACATATCACATATCCAACTAGAATGTGTTTTTGTGTAGAACCGGCACTGCTCATTTGCTGCTCACGTTGTTTCTGCTCGTTTCTTCTGTTTTTCCCAGTATATCGTTGGAGCTATTTCATGTGAAGAAAGTGGTGACGCGTTTTCCACGATGCTTGTTGTCTGGGATAGTGGATCAGTGGACCACAAACGGCCCCATAAAGCCGGTCCTGCTCGGTGCTAACGCGTTTTGTTTGGCCCTGGCCCCAGACTTTTGGCCCCATCTTTTGCTGTTCCTACCACCCAAAGAACTTTGAACACTGGATGTTTGTGAACCGGGCAAACGATCTAATTTATGGCACTGTTTTGCTCCTTGGAAGAACCCACTTTTTTCCTGGTTCAGCCCTGATACGGTCTTGTAATGTCTTGTGTGTTCGTGAGTTTGGAGCTTGGTCGCCAACAGAACCCACATGGACCTTGGAGCGCGGTGACATTGGACCTGCACCAGGTCAACTGGTGACATTGCGCAGGTGGGAAGAATTCACACCACTGTCAACCAACAGTCAACCTGCACGAAGTCACCGGCTGAAAATGGGAAGACTTCATCATCTCCTCCAAGGCATTCTCCACGTGCTTTCGGAGCTACGATCCGAAAAAAGATCAAAGAACGAACACCAATTCTGCAAAACGAACCGGGCCTTTTTACTGTACCTACACTACCCGACTACCAAGCCACAAGAGCCACACATTTCCACCCATGTTCCTCAAACCTTTAAAGTGGGTTTCAAGCCTATACAAAAGATACAATGTTTCAGGTGGTGCAAACCAAGATGGACCGGTGCACACCAAGATGGTCCACATGTCAAACCATCCAACTTGACAGTGTCCACATTACCGGGTGCTTCAGTGATCGCCATCGCTGAGGTCTTTGATCGTGGTGCCCTGCTCCAAGGCCTCCGCCAACCAGCGCGCTGGGCGCGCGGGCCGCGCGCGGAAGCCCAGTGTTCGATGTTTGAAGTGAGGGAGTTCTTGTTTGTTTTCTAAGGAGGTTTGCTCATCTTTTCTCGGGAGCGGCCGCGCGGTTTTTTCTGCGCAGCTTGGGACCTGGAAGGAAGATTAAAATAAAGGTGTACTGTATATGCCATTGGATTTCGAAGATGGCAGTCCTTCCGGCCACCAGGTTTTGTCAGGTGTTGTCCATTCCTCCAAGACCAGGAAGTTTTCGAGTTGGTCAATTTCTCACAGCTGATACCAACAGTATGAGGTCAATCATTCCTCCGAGGTCAGGAAGTGTCAATTTGGTCATTTCTGAAGGCTAATGCCAACACTACCAGGGGCCCCACAAACCATTAAGATCCGGTTTTTTCCCGTGCATAGAACACGGGGTTGTGTATGTGAAAACTTTTTTTAAAAATGGATTTGAGGGCCGTTGGTATGAGGTCAATCATTAAGAGGTAAAACAAATTGAATAAGGGTGGAGAAGAACCGGGCCATCTGAATGGTCGAATGGCCTTCCGTTGGTCCCGGACGCTTCGTGAGGTGAAGCCGGGAAAATGCTTTCGGCTCTTCACCAAGTGGTCCTATGAACATGAGCTGGACGACGACAACGCACCTTGCCACAAGCTGGGAGGGATTGTGCTGGAGCGATGTTATGACCAGTACGAGCATGAGAGGGTGGACTTTTGGCTCTTTGTTTCAAACTGTCCGGCGATCCTGGGTTCGTTCTGCAAGTGATCGGGAGATTCTTCGGGTTCGTTTCACGTTCTTCTTGGTTCCACCGTCTTGACCTCGTTCCACCCGCCGAAGAGGCGCCCGTTTTCGTCGTCCCCCGCGGAAGATCGCCGAGGCGCCAGAGATCCAGCGATCGAATTTGGGACACGTGGTGCTCCTCGGAGCGAAGGGAGAGAGGTGGAGAGGGGGTTGGAGAGGGTCGGTGGGTCGGGCGGAGATCGCGTTTTTGGGTAAGAGTAGGAGCTACCTGAGGTTGTATTGTTGAGAGAAGACTGAGAATGTATTGTTGAGCATCTCAAGTCTCCAGCGTTTTTTTGAACATGAGGTCCGCCTGAACCTTGCCGACCTAGAAGTTTTTTGGTCGACCCAAGACACGTGGATCTCCTTCAACCTTTTTTGGGGAGACAGGTTGCCCCACTCAACGAAAAGCAGGTCGGACGGTTCGGTGAACTGATTTGTGGATTCTCCGGCTTGGGAGTCAGTTGGTCTCCCAACAGCAGACCCCTTTGGTCTTATAGGTTGACCGTCATGTGTAAGAAGGGGCAGCAAGTCGATTCGTCCGCCATGTGGACGACCGTCCATGTCGCTGGCGCATGGACCTTCGGACCTTCGGACCTTCGGACCGCCGGAGCGAAGCGCACCTTCCCATCAGCGGATGTGCGCAGGAGGTGACTCATCACCGGCAGTGGTGTCAATGATATCCTTGAATTGACAGCACAGACTTGTCCAAATATCGTTTAGTCATCAGTTCGCGGTGACTTCCGAGGTTGATGTTGAAGTCCATCGGCATCGACGATTTGCTGCACTTCGATTTCATGGACCCTCCGCCCCCCCGAGACCTTGATCAAGGCGAGTACGACTGGGGGCCCGGGGCCCGGGGCTCGGAGTGTGGAGTGCAACGGTGGGCGACTCGGCGTTGGGCGCTAGGCGATGCCTTGCATGGTTTTGGAGAGCAGAGTCGGCAGAGTGAGTGCATCATACAACACACCCACACACATCTAACATTTCTAGGTTCCCGGTATCTTGAAGACCTGAAGATCTTAGATGGATCAATCCTAGAAGCCAAACATATGTCAGATGTATTTCACGGGAGCCAATCACCGAATCTTGCGACCGGCATCGTACAAAAGGCCCTCAGCCGGAAGGTTGCTTGGTTGCTCCTTCTGACTCTTCTCTCAAATAGGCTTCACATGGTTGAGACCATGTACAAACACAGGTCTATTGTGTCAAAATCACAGGTCTTTTGTGGTCTTTAATGTATCCCCCCCATGGTATAAAGCAAATCTGTGATCAATTAAGAATCTAACAGGATCTCACAGGAGTGATGGTCGTGCCTGTGCGTGGCTGTGCGACACACTTGCGCAAGATATCATTTGCGCAAAAACCATGGAAGTTCAACGATCACTCATGGTGGCCACGAGTTCTCGTTTGCTGGAGGATCCATGGCACGAGGAACTCATGGCTTCAGCACACGGCTTCGTGGTGACGGCAGTCACTCTCTTTCCAGCCACGAGAGTGGTGGGTCACATGCAGTGAAAACCACGTGTGGACGAGGTCCCACGAGGTCCCAGATACCCGGTACTGGCCCAGTGAAGGATCACATGACCACATGACATGTGTTTTTTAGACAGTTTTGGTACGCTTTGGATAGATGTTAACCCAGAACATCTCAGAACCATACCCCTTTTCAAGCCCTCAACCGAAAGAAGAGACCTCTTTCAGCCCAAACCTTGCAAGAATGCCGTTTCATCCGATGAAACTCTGAACTTCCGTGGATCCGGATGTATCTGAAATCTGAGTCTCCGTCCCAAACCTTTCGGCCTCGCTCTCTCCACGGGCCTTGGAGGCCTTGGAGCAGCTCTATGCGCTCAGTGTTCACTGGCCGAGACAGAGCGCCGTTCAGGGTGCTTCGGGGTGGGCAAGGCGGGTGGCGAAGTTGGCTGTGAGAGACCCATCCCAGATACTCCATGGGATTTGACTAGTCACTAGAATTCGGGTCATTGATGTGGCAAATGTAATCAACTCTTCCATACACGGATGCTTTGGCCATATAGGATTGCAGTCTTGCTGAAGCTGCTGATTTCAGCAGTTCAGCAGTTTTCCATAGTTTTCCTGTTTTGTTCAGCGCGCCAAGCAGACTCCATAAAGTTCCTCAGGCGGTTCATGGTTGGTTTCACCCCCCCAAAAGTGCATGCTGGTGACCAACATCATTTAGTCCTTGGTGTTCCGTACCTTTCCACGTGCCATAGAAAGGTCTTGTGTTTTTATTGCAATATAGATAATGAGAATCAACCCGTGGATAATTTGACGATCTGCAGAACACCAAACCAGCTACGTTCATTTGGGGAAGCACCAACCATAGATGACCCAGGATCGACTTTTGAGATCAAACCAGTTGTTCAACAATTCTGCTTGACGGCTGAGAAGAAGAACTCCACCTATTGGTATACACTCTGACTTCACACATCACATGGTTACGTGGATGGCATGGTCCTTTGGAAGACGCCCCTTTCCTTTTACAAAAACCGGGGGTGCCATCCACTGTCACCCAACGTGATGTGTTCGGTGCTCGGTTCATGTATCCCCACCGATGATCCTTGGTCAGGTGGTGCCCTCTTCAGTGTGCCTTCGACCCACCGATTCCGTATGCAGTTCGCTTTAAGCTGCCGCGGTGCGGTGGGTGGTTTTTGAGGCCTTGAACGACCAGGGCGATCTCACCAAGCTCGGTGCGGAGCACCAGGGGGTCCCGAACGAGCAGCATTAAGGGCGTTGGTCATGAAGAGATGGCATGGACGACTTCGAGGACCTCTGTTTAGAGGGTATTTTCATCATGTTGATAGGCGTCAAACATGACGAAGTCGGGTGTTTGTCTTGATGTGTTTTCATTTCAGTTGTCTTTTTTGTTGAGCGGGTCATACATGGTTCGGTCGCAGGCAGAACAGCGAACCAAATGGCCAGGGCTCGGATTTCCGGTCACCCCTCGCCGCTCCGCCCGCATCGACCTGGTCGGACTCACCTCCGCACCGAAGGGCGGAGTGCCCCAGGTCGCCGAATGGCGGAGTTCCCCATGGATCCGCAACAGTCCAAGTCTTTGATCCAGGCCGCGTGCGACGCCCAAAACCTCGTGTGAAACGGGGTCGTGTCCCGTCCGGGTACTGCGTAGTGGAACGAGATCCTCGTGCTTTGGGACGAACGGGAAAGGGAGGTGAAGACACCCTATAAAGAGAGGCCCGGTCTGACCCAGTAAAACCTAGGGCATTTTAGGTGTCTGCCGGTGTCACGTGTTTGAGGACGACGCGGAAAAGCGGTCAAAACCCCAACCCCCGAGAAAACGAACACATCGAAGTTCCTTGAGGTTCCAAAGATAGTGGAGTCTGTTGATTGGGGTCAACCAGACTTCTGAGGTTTGGACCTATCATATAGTTTGGACCTATCATATATGGTGGGAGGGATGGAGCCGCGTCACTTGGATGTTAGATCGCATTTGGAGCAAGTGTAGGACGACAGAAGTGCCTGCATTTGTCTGCTCATGCTGGTTGAATGGAATTATATTGCCAATTCAATCGGCAGCCATTCAGGCTGACAAGTACAAGTGCGTCGACGAAGTGGTCACCATTTGCAGCATGCTTGGCGCGGGGCCATGGAGTGGTTTTGAGGTAAACAAATGGGTGCATTCCGTAGATTTCCGTGCTTTCTATCAGACAGCTACTAGAGCTGTGAAGGTTTGCACCCATTTTCACGCTGGGAGCCTTTCATTCTGGACGTCAAAGGGTGTGACAATTGCCAGTCCGACACATATTGATGGTGTCCTATCAAAACAGTTTGGAAGCACACAATAATAACCTGTTGTTTGCTCCAAGTACAGATAGTGAGTACCACGCCAGTTGGAGAAAGATGTTTTGCACCAGTGGCTGAGGGAAGTCCATGACATTCCGTGCATTTCAGGATAAGAAAGAACAGTTATATAACTTAAACCTGGACTGTTGAATGGGTGTCGTGTCTGGAGATCTAAAAGTTCTGTAGTAATTGGGGTGCTGTCCTCTTTGGACGCCCAGGCAGGATGGTGTCTGATACATCTTCCCTGTCTTGACCAACAGGTCATTGCCCATCCTGTCTTCCCTGGGTTTCTGGGATGTTCACATCTGGATATATACAAATCAGTGATATCTGGATTTTCTAACAGATGTAAATGTATATATATATATATTATATATACGATATATATATATATATTATATGTCCAGTAGTGTCCTGTTTGCAAGGACTTTCTTCTTCGCCTCTTCACTTTCAGGCTCCATCCTCGTGGCTTCCATCCTCGTCCCGATTTCGGGTCCACGGGCCGCAACTCGTCACCCGCTCAGCCATCGCCGGACCATCTCTGTCATCGCCAGGTGTGGATGGTGCGATCTTCTACCGGCCCAAGGACAAAGGCGACCGAGACCGGTGTCGACGCCCGAGACCGAACGACCCGCGGGTTGCGGGTTGCGGACTCGTGAGAACGTGAGTTGTCAGAGGGGGGGGTTGGAGAAGAAGGGAGAACTGGGGTATAAAGACGTGAGGCGGGTCATGAACATGACTTGATTTATCCGTTTGAGCTCCTGTCGGACCTCCTCAGAGGGTATGACTGGACAATGGCACCCACCCCAGTCCCACCTGCGAAACGAAGGTGCGTGGAGCCCTAGGGTTATACGACGTAATTACATATTCATGTCCCTTTTGTCAAGCAACGTTTGTGGCATTTCCTCGAGTTCACAAAGCAATTTTGGATGGTTCTGGTAGGTTGCAGCGGCTATATACCCTTATTGAAGCTGACAAGGCAGAGGTCTGAAACTCTTGATATCAACGACTAGCCTGAGCCTAGCTGGGTGTCACGAGGGAGGAAGGGAGGACTGTCATTTTTGTTTTTTGGAGCTTCCAGTTTTCCATCATTGAGCACGACAGAAGATTTGAAATGTTTGAGTGTCAATCAAGCTGAGCGACATATCTGTGGATCAACACATAGGAGATCAATGAACAAGGGCAAGCCATTTTCATTTCCGCGACAGGTCCTAAATGCTAGGCCCGGTCCGACCCAGAAAAATGGACACACGCCAGGTTTGCACGCGGACAATGCGCGCAAGAACTTCCATAAGCCGGGTGGAGATCACATGACCATGCTGCATGTCTACAAGCAGCACCTTGGACCTGGCGTGGTATGGTTAGACGGTTTGGCTGTGAGGATCTCGACGCAGAGTTCTCTCTTTAGAGCCCAACCGCTGCAGCTCAAGTAGCTCCAAAGCACAGATGCAGGTTCGGGTGAAACATCAACTGCCTGGAATCGTGTATTTTTCCTGCTGAACAACTGCCCAAGCCAAGTCGTTCCGTCCAAGACCGCCTGGCAGTTTTGGTACTTGCAGCCTAGTGTTGGAAGATGAATCGAACACCAAGTAGGTTTCCCTCATCAGCAGCAAATGCATAGCTCGGTCACTAGGTCTCTTCAAATTGATCTTTGATCCTTGAAAAAGAGACAGGCCGCCAGGTCGCCAGGTCGCAATGAAAGATGGACTATCTCGATCCCAAAGAGGTGTTTTTATCATGTTTTATTGGATGGCTGAACATGGGTTACATATCCAATGTATGAACATGTCTTCCCAGGTGGGAGGAGACAGGCTTCTCCTTGAACTGGTGCATGGAGAACTACCTCCAAAACAGGTGCCACAGCGTGCCATGATCCGGGTGATTGTTGTCTGATCTAGTTGAGTTTTACCCCAGCTTTACTCACTGGTCATGCACTGGTCATGCGCAATCAGATAGGGTGAGACCGTGACGTATTATTGGCCTTAAGTGTCCATGTACATCCCCAATCGATTTTGTTTGCTCCTACATGCAGCATTTACGTGTATTTAATATATCAGTAGCTGGCCTTGCAGATCATCATTCGTTCCTTTTCAAACATCCGATTTTCTTCAGCGCCAATGCACGCCAGGTCCTTAAAGCGTGCGCGGGATATCCGCGAGCAGCTGGTGGACATGCTGGAGAAGGCAAATGGATCGGCAGCGTAGCCAGCAGCGTGACGCGAAAGGATTCTTCCGAAATTCCTTCAGCTTTGTGTCGCAGTGGTGAATTTAGATGAAGTCCTTAGGGTTTCGGCAGTTGAATTAGGGGACAGGCACTTTCATGTCTGATCTATCAAAGAAGGGGAGAAGCGAGCACTGACTGAAGCACTGACTGAAGCGGGCAGAAATGCTCGAAGGAGTTGGACAGTTACCATCACGTCGTATGGTCACCAGGGTCCGTTGGCTCACCTCTTTCGCGTGGCTGCGACGTCTTGGGCTCGAGAGTTTGATGTTCAGATGCAGCGAGGAGTTCGGGTGTGCGTCCATCAAAGGCGATGTTTTAGTACAGACGAAGCGCTGCTGGAACTCTGCCGGAAGGCGACTGAGAGGAACATTGGAAGTGTCTCGGAGCTCCTACGCTCAAAGGGGCAGCTTTCCCAAGTCTTGAAAGTCCTTAGCCGGGAGAAGAAAGGAAATTTGGTACTTGCCCTCTTGGAGGCAATCAGGGAAGATGGGAGAATCAAGCTGAGTGCTTCCCAGTATGCTGTCGTAATATCAGCTTGTGCCAAGTCAAAATTGTGGCAACAAGCATTGAAGGTGTCCGATGCAATGCCTGAAGCCAACGTTGATCCAAATCTCTTTACTTACAGTGCGGCCATCGCTGCCTGCGAAAAGGGCGGGCAATGGGAGCAAGCCTTGAAGCTGCTTGAGGCCATGTCCAAGGCCAACATTCAGCCCAATGTCATCAGCTGCAGTGCGGCCATCAGTGCCTGTGAAAAGGGCGGGCAATGGCAGCAAGCCTTGAGA